TACCCAGACTGAATTGGATATAGATGGAGTTTGTCCAATTGACAATTTTATGGGAAACCCAATAGTTTTGAATTCCTACATTATAATTCTCACATAAACAAAAGAATTTCCCAAGAAAATAAACTGTAGAGGCTGRGGTTGTAGCTCAGTATAGAGCRCTWGCCTAGCATCTGTGAGGCTCTGGGTGCAATCCCCAGCACCATATAGAAATCAATAAGTAAAATAAAGGTGTAATGTCTATATACAACTAAAACATAAATTTAAAAAAGAAAATAAACTATAATTAAAACAAGTATAGGAACAGAGGAGGAATCAAGTGACATGGATACCATCTCTCCCAAGTTAAATGGGGCATTTGGCAGTGAGTGACTCCTAATCAAAGGACAGTAGKGGAAGCCATATGTCTAGGGAAATGTTAATAAAAACAATAACAACTCAAAGTGTGTATAATCTAAAATGTATAAATTTAAGGAACTATTCAAAAAAATTTCAYAATTWGTTTATTCATTCTTCAAAACAACAATAATAAGATCAGYACCACCATTTTCAAGGTAAAGAAACCAATGGTCCATGAGCTTAGCCCAAATTCATGAAACCTGAGTACACAAATTTAGCCAAATTGTTGRTATGAGAATCAAATTCTAACGATCCAGACTATCCTAGTGCTAGTCTTCACTGTATAAAAGTTAATTTAGTGCTGGCTACAGAAATAAGGCTCTGTGTTAGGTACTGTAAGAACAATAATAGCACCAGGCTCAGGGGCACATGCCTGTAATCTCAGCAACTTGGGAGGCTTAGAAAGGAGGATTTCAAGTTCTAATMCAGCCTAAGTAACTTAGCAAGACCCTGCCTCACAATAAAGACTAAAAAGGGTTTGAGGAGAGATGAAACTCAGTAGTAAAGTGCTACTGGGTTCTATCCCTAGTACCAAAAATAAACTAATTAATTAATTAATTAATTAATAATAAATAGAAAGGAATGGGGATGTAGGTCAGTAGTAAAGTACCCCTGTTTCAATCTTCAGTAGTGGAAAATATAAAGACAAGGGGAAAAATTAATGGAATAAGACATGATTGTTGTTTACAAGTAGTTACAAAGGAAGGAAGGAAAGATATGTACTGTTAAAATGCCCATTTTGTTGCACACATTTTAATCTTGATTTCCCTACATACAGAAAAATAAAAGTAATCATGTAGAATTAGAAAGATGAATAAAATACTGTCTCAGCTTAAAAGAAGCTTRGGACATTGTCTGAGAAATATAGCTACTTGAGGGACAAAGTAATGACAGCAGAGAGGACCCRGGAARAAACTCCTTTTGTAGGAGGTGGCCTGTGAATTAAGCCTCGKAGGAAAGATGGGGTTTGGGAAATGWTGATATGAGTAAAAGAAGGTTAATATCCAAAGTGTCAKATGGTTAAAGAGAGACCAAAACATGGGCAAAAGARCACTCAGGAAATAATGAGCAGWWCATTTTGGATATAGTGGCAGAGAAAGCCAATTAAATTCAGGGTAAGTCGAAAATTATGACCATGAAAAATCTGTAATTGAAACTTCTGTAATGTATGAAAATTGTTGAAAGATTTCAAATATAAAATAAAAATACTAATAAATATTAATATAATTTAATTAGCAAAGATAAGTATACAAAAGAAATAGGATAGCCCAATTGGAAAAGTTGACAAATGATGCTTGGAAAAATCATGCACCTGAAATCTTATTTTTTTATTTCCCAAGAAACAGGCTACCACGGTAAAATATGCATTGGAGATACTGCACTAATATGTGGCATGATTAAGAAGGAGATCGCAAAATAGTGAAACGCACTTTTCTATGAAAAAGAAACCCTACAGCTCTCTTTTCCTAGATGCCTGGAAAACTGTGAGCAGCTTTACCAACCACAGCTCAGGATGGAGACTGAGTTACACACAGCAAGGGAGGGCATGGATATGGTAGCATATTTGTTCCAAGGATGGGCAAGTCGGGATGGGATAGGGATGGTGCCTGAAATTGGATTGGAAGATCTAAGTTCCTTATAGTCAGGTAAGATGAGATAAAATGAAGATTACACAAAAATAATGAAGAAAAAAATATAAATATAACACTGCAAACAATACTACTCCCAAAAATTATATTCTCGGGTTTCTTGAAAAAAGAAAATGAAAAAAAATTTAGAAGAGAGAAGGAAGGAAGAAAGGAAAGAAAGAAGGAAGGAAATATGTTATACTGCACTCAGAGAGGTGGCTGGTACACACTGAACATCTTAACTGGGTCTAGTAGGATCAGAGGAATCCATGAATGGCACAGTTGTCAGAATGGCCAAAGAAGAACATTGGATATGCTCAGGACAAAGCACTCAACCACTCAACCCCAAGAACCTAAGTTCCAGGATTGACGTCTGTACTTCAGTCCAAAAATCCTTCCATGGCCCATAAGCCAGCAGGACTCTGCCAGGCTGAATCAGAGAAGGCAAAGGAATCTGTCTTTTGCACATCAGAAGACAGGCATGTCTGTTGAGGAACATCTTTTAAGGCTTGCTTCTTTAGTGGTCAAACATTCCCATCTAATTCAGCTCCATACAGCTAAGATTTGGCAAGACCCTCAGTTGTGGATTAGATCAGAGAAAAATTCCAGGTCACCACAAAAATCTAGAAAAAGAGTGGTCTCCTTTGAAACAACAGTAAACAAAGATGCCCAATAACTGTTTGTAATTTTTTTTCATTGTTTTATAAGATATTGGGGAAAAGCAGAATCAGAACTCACTCCAGAATTGAAAATGTTACTTTTCTTTGCAACATAAAGGTAGTTCCTTATTTTCTTACTTTTTATTAACTACTTCAAAGAAGGCTCTTACAATCTTCTCAGCAGTTTCTGGATTCCCTGCTTGATTTCCTTGGTCCTTACACCATAAACAATGGGGTTCAGCGCTGGGGGAATGAGGTGGTGCAGGATGTTGAGAAGGATGGGGACATCAGGGGGAATTCTCTCCCTGGCCAGGTTAGTGATGAYCAGAACYAGCAGCACTGTGCTGAAGAAGAGGATGAGGATGAAGTGGGACCCACATGTGCTCAGGGCCTTGGCCACAGCACCCTCAGCCTTGATCCTTAGCACAACTTTCAAGATAAAGGAGTAGGAGAGAACAATAAGGATGAGGTCAGAACCCAGCAGTGTCCAGCCTGCCACAAACTGGTAGAGTCGGTTGAAGATGATATCATCACAAGATAGTTTGGACACAGACAGGTTAGTGCAGATGCAGTTCTTGATGATGTTTCCTGCACAGTATCTTAGTCTAGCAGAAAGGATGGGAACTGGAAGAGAAAAGAGGGCATTTCTGGCTATAACAAAGACAGCAGCCCTGACCACAAACTGGCCAGTGATGATGGAAGGGTACCGCAGTGGATGGCAGATGGCCACATAGCGGTCATAGGCCATCACCATGAAAGTGCAGGACTCCATCGTCAGGAAACTGTTCATGATGAACATCTGGAGGAAGCAGGCAGAGAAGCTGATGGATCTGAGGTCAAACCAGAAGATGGCCAGGACCTTGGGGATGACAGTGAGGCAGAGCACAATGTCCAGCAGGGAGAGGAGGCTGAGCAGGTAGTACATGGGCTCATGCAGGGAGGCCTCCAGCCAGATGACGATGAGGAGGGTGGTGTTGGCCCCCATGGCCAGGAGGAAGAGGAGGCTGAGGGGCATGGACAGCCAGTGCTGCCAACTCTGGTAGTTAGGGAAGCAGATGAGGAGGAATTCAGAGATCAGTGCAGTGGAGTAGTTGCTGGATGATGCCATAGAAAATATCCCAACCAAACTGGAAATACAAACTATCTTACAATGAAGGACTGAATTATATGATCACAGAAAGTATGTATCCTGGATGTGGTGTACTTCGGGTTTCCACTGGAGCCCAGACCTGTCTCAATGAAATTTTAAAATAATCACCATCATCATCATCATCATCATCATCMTCATCAACATCATCATCAACAACAACAACAACAACATCACATCGTTGACATTATTAACATCATCATTGTCATTAACAGCAACAATTATCTGAGCATGTGCCGTGTGCTGGGCACTATGTTGAATGCTTTTACATTCATCATTTCATTTCGTTCTTTTAAAAAATACTAAAGAGTAATTAGTATTTTCCTAGACATTTTACCAATAACAAAAGGAAGATTAGAGAGAACAGAGTGGTTAGATTATACAGAGCCAGTAAGTAGAAATGCCAGGACTATGAGCCACAGAGTCCAAYAGTAATAATAATAATTAGTGGCCTGTTTACAGCCACTAATCTACTCCACCTGCATCCAAAAGCATATTTACCTAATGGAACCCTTTGTCCCTTTCTTCTTTAATTCCTCTCTTGCTTCCTTTCTTCTGTGTTTAGAAGACAAAGCTATATGGAGAGCTTCAGGAATAATAAGGGTATGGTTTAGCCAATTCCATGTAGACCCAAGGAATGCCCAGCCCTCTACTCCTCAGACCTGGACAGGACCTAAGTTGAGGATTCTTTAGTTTCATTCTTCRGGAAGCACTAGAGTATAGAGGCAGAGAAGCCCTTGACAGATGCCAAGAGCAATAATTTCTTCCCTCCCCAAAGAGGATTTCATTTTAAAGCCATGGGGTCTGCCATTCACTTACTCAATTATTTGCTATTGTTTTTCCTTGTAAAGTCTCAAAAAGACTTTCTTTGTTTTGGTTCCTCTGGAGAGGACTATGATTATCTCACCCTAGTGACAGAGAATGGGGACACCAGGAAGAAGATGAAAACTTGTGGGTGCTTCTTCAAATGGAAGGCAGGGTCTTTGAAGAGCTTTTCAAAAGCAGAACATACCTTGAATCTTAGAAGACAGGAGAAATATTTTCTTATCCTGGGAAGAAAATTGAGAGAGGTCCAGAGGCTTTGGGAATGATAAGAATTTGGGTCTAACAGTACCCTTCCACATCTGGAGGTCTGAGTGGGCTGGCTACCTTCAGCTGGCCCATGTCAGTCTCTTGATTTATACTGCTCTTATCAGGCTATGAGCTAATCTGTCACAGGAATATTGTGCAAAGATGACCTGCTCTTAAGCTCCCTTGAGTTCTATACTATTAATCCTCTCTTCTCCTTCTCTGAGAAGCACAGCCTCAGACAGTTCACTATGAAAAAGGAAGGTGAGACAGAAGTACTTCTGGTCTCTGTGGAGGCTGCTCCTTACTCCACCATCTGGGTGACTCTTCAGAAGGACCCTTTGAATTGTCCTGTCTCCAAATTTCATCAAGCTCCTGCCTGCTCCTTAGATCAAGATCCCTTTCCTTATGCCAAAGGCCATTTCTTTATTTATTATGGACATTAAGACATAAATTGATGGTGACACATGGCTGTAATCCCAGTGGCTTGGGAGGCTGAGACAGGAGGATTGCAAATTCAAAGCGAGTCTCAGCAACTTAGTGTGAGGCTCAAGCAATTTAGCATGACCCTGTCTCAATATAAAAAAATTTAAAAGGCCTAGGGATGTAGCTGTAGTTCAGTGATTAAGCACCCATGTCTTCAATCCCTGGTACAAAAATGAATTGAAATGACATTCCATAATCAAAGTCAGAAGAATTACATGTGGATGATGACAGAAAATAAGCACTCAGGATTCATTATTTAACCATACCCAAACATGTACTTGCCACTTGTTATCAATCAAGGTAATGTGAAACACACTGAAGAAAGATGAATAAGACAGGGCCTTCAATCTTATKTCACAGTGTTAGTGATTAGTTTCTATTTTTGAGCTTGTGTGACAGAAAAAAATAAACTTTACTGAGAAATTAGAGATGAGAATTGGGGCGAGAGGAGGATTTTAAAATAAATTTAGATTTAAAGTTTTAGCCCTGAGATATTGGCAAAATATCCAAGTAAATTTTCCAGATATCATTCAAAATATGATATGTCCAGGAAATTCAGACTGCAAGTGAAAATGTGCTTTGCTTTTTTGAAGGGGAAAAAATAAGGTAAAGAAGCTATTGTTATATTTTCAAAAATGAGAAGGATCTAAGCATGTCTTTAAAGTTTAGATTAAGCATTCCCAAGTGGTATTGGTAGTTGTTAATTCAGAAGGAAAAGGAAATATTTGATGGAATAAAGTTTCAGAAAAGATAGCAGAGGGTTGTTTCAATGCCATCAGTGAGAGCTCTTGAATAAAACAATGACAGGGACAGAGTTTCTGGCTTCCCACCACTCCTCTTTTCACAAAAGAAATTGTCAAGTCTGGAAGACAAGAGTGAGTACTTATCCAAATGGTAAAACCTGTGGCTTTGTGTTGGGTAGTTTGATGATGGGGGAAAAAAACAAACAAACAAAATAAAAACAAAATGAAAACCATGAGACTGGCTCTCCCACAGAAAAAATAAATCCATGTTGGACCCCCAGCTATAGTAGTATTTTAAGTTGCAAATGAAAGCAAATGTCCAGTTACCTGGCATCAAAATGACTTTTCCTCTGAGGAAATTGCCTGTGTTCATGGACATTTTTGGAGATAAGAGGGCAAATTCTTTCTTTTTATTTCATAAAATACAGTTACTTTCTGATATCTTAGCCATCTCTCTGCCCCAAAATGTGTTTTATCTTAGAAATCTTCCAAAGATTTGGCTTTCCATACTCTGTACAGGAACACATATTTGTAAATCATAGTTATCTGACACAGCAAAAATTCCCAACATAGGTATCCAGTAGAAGGCTCTGCCAGGAGATTAGATTACCATCAGGCCATCCCCTAGCCCCAGGGCAAACCCTCTCCTTTCTTTTCACTATCTATTTTCTTTGGAATTAATTTCACAACTTAGTGAAGAATTCCTATTAAAGATAGAGTATATCAAAGATTCTAAGGAGATCAAAACTCTCTCACAAGACACCTCTTTGAGGACCAGAACTAGATACCTTCAAGAAAAGTATAGAAATAGTTGATGTTCACCAAAGGTAGAATAGAAAGGGTGAGTTTTAGACAAAAAAAAAACTAAGCAATTCATTTCCTTGTAAGTAAAATTGTCAATGCTTTCCTTTTTCCTGGCTGTAATTGTCCTAGCATATGGGATCCACATTCTGAACATTTATCTGCTAGGATTCCAGTTGTCTCTTTGAGGGATACCATCTGGTTTTCCTCTGACTAAATAAAGAGCAAGTGGTCAGGTACTAGAAGGATAATGGCTATCACAGACAAGAAAGCAAGAGACCCTCATTGCTATACAAAATTACATATAAGAGGTTGTGAGGGGAATGGGATAATAAACAAGGAGGGAAATGAATTACAGTAGATGGGGTAGAGAGAGAAGATGGGAGGGGAGGGGAGGGGGGATAGTAGAGGATAGGAAAGGTAGCAGAATACAACAGTCACTAATATGGCAGTATTTAAAAATTTGGATGTGTAACCGATGCAATTCTGCAATCTGTATTTGGGGTAAAAATGGGAGTTCATAACCCACTTGATTCTAATGTATGAAATATGATATGTCAAGAGCTTTGTAATGTTGTGAACAACCAATAAAAAAAAAGAAAGCAAGAGAGAGCCAAGAAGTCCCAGCAGGATGAGAGAGAGGGGCCATAGTCATATAATCCATGTGGCTGGAATTACTGTCCCATTGGATAAGTCTCCTCTAGGAGATATGAGGTTTGTTTAAGAAAGTATCTAACTTCCTGAATAGAAAATAAAGATAATAAATCTGATCCAAGGACTTTCACTTTGAAAATCTCAAGCTTCCAAACACAGATTGTACTATAAATACTGGGGTGGGCAGGAGGAGCCTTCTACCCATCATAGGGCTTTATGACAAACTAGAATTCAGGGCTTAAAACTGGAAAAAGGACAGTTCTGTATCGGTTTTCCACTCCACTTCCATATATGATTAGGAAAATGACTCTCAGCATGAATCTGAGAGGTAACATGCATAGGAAACATACCACCACTGGAAAGGCTTTTCCTTTCCAATAATCTCAGATATGACTCCAAAGAGTGTCTTGGTCAATTTGAACAAGTGAGAAAATCAGAGCACTTTTCCAAACTCAGTCCCTAGGCTAGACCCACCCAAATGTTCATGAAATCTACTTCTGCTTTGATGGTATCAGGAGCATCCAAGTATAGAATATGGATTAAGTAAAAATTGCTATCTTCTGAGAGCTTACTTAATTAAAAGAGAAAAGTGGCTGTAACCATTTAGAGTACAGTTGTGAATGTCATAATAGTGATTATAGAACAAAGGGAAAGAGACAAATTACAAGTGAATGAACGAGTGGGATATGGTATGGGAGGAACAGACAAACTCTAGATAGGGAAGAGGGGTGGGAGAGGATTAGCAAGGATGGTGGAATGTGATGGACATCATTATCCAAAGTACATGTATGAAGACACGAATTGGTGTGAATATATTTATACAACCAGAGATATGAAAAATTATGCTCTATATGTAATATGAATTGTAATGCATTCCACTGTCATATTAAAAAATAAAATAAATAAAATAAACTCTCTGGTGTCCAGTTTTCCCATTTATGAAATAGAACAAATGATACTTAAGCATAGGTGTTACTGTGAGAAGGGAAAAAAGCTATAATTTCCTAAAGTCCTGTTAGGTCAGGGAACATAGAAATCTAATAGAAACAAAGAAAGATGCAGAAAAGAGGAGACTGAAGATTCTCCTTTTAGGCAATTGTAAGAACAGAAAGACCTGTGTTGGAGGATGATAGTGATGAGGCATTAGGAGCTGGTTCTTTAGGAGAAGGAGACAGAGAGTAGAATACCAGGGAACAATGTTTAAGGTAAACAGTCGCAGCTTTGTGAAGATCCTTAGTTGTCCTTCTGAGAGTAGGCATCGTCATGTACACTCTAGGGAGTAAATATTTGGAAAAAGGGAAGTTGATATGCTA